TATTATTAGAACTATCATTATAGGCTTATTGATCTCAATTGATCGAACAAAACGATGAGGTCGGTTGTGCAAAAGCAAATGAAGTGCCTCTTATGTCAGATCTTGGGAAGAAGTCTTTCTTAACTAACAATAAGTTTATATAGTATATAATCATTATAGATATATATAGATGATTGAAGGGTTTGATTAATCAATCCTTTATCTTACCAAAACGCCACAATTTTAAGGAATATTTTTCTAAGATTCAAATTGTTGGCACCAATCATTTGATTGTTATTTTTCATTCGAGTTTGTACAAAAACCAACATTTTAAAAACCCGGTTATTTTTCCGGTACCGGTTTTTAACCGGTTTCGAGTTTTTGTAAAACCGGTATTTTTCACTAATTCCATAATTTTCTTTTTAAAACCGCACTTTATATTTGACCTTCACCATACAATTAAAGATCTTCTAATAATATAGTAATGTAAATAATGATGAACTATGTGCAAGTGGCATTTTGTCTTACGACTAGTTGCAAAAATTTCCTGACATGTGCAAATTAGCAAGTTTTCAAAGTGTGACGATAAAATTTTAAAACTTTGACACGGTTCATAATTGCCGCCTTTAATGATTTTTCAGAATTAAAATACTTTTCTTATGACTTTAAACTTTTTTGGTATTTGTTAAATATTTCTACAATTAATCACTTAGAAACGGTCAGGTCGATTTTTTTCCAAAAATTAATTCCAATGATTACCAAGGATGATTTCCAAGGATTACCAACTGATATTATTTAAAGTTTTTGAATATTTTAAAATCAGTTTACGATTTTTGGCGAAAACGTTGGTTCAAAATTTTGCATTTATCAGCCAATTATAATTATAAAAATGAAATTAATGCCTAAGAAACTTAAAATAAATTTAAATAAAAACCTTTGCATTCGACTGACTCTGCACAAAACTCTTGTGTGTTAAAAGGTCTTCAAAATAAAATTCATTCTTAAAAAACAAAATAAATAAATTCCTGAATTTCATTCGGTCCTGCACAAAAATAATGATCCTTAATCTATCATAAACTGATCATAGTTTTTAAAATTTGTTCATTGAAGTCCTGGTCTTCACATTCTTATATTTCCAAAAAGCTGTGAATAAAATATTTATCTAATTTTTATCATAAACTTTTTGTCAAATAAAATTATAAAATAAAATCGAATTCTGAAGAAATAAAATTTAAACTAGTGGGGTGCATGGCATCGTGCCTTAAGAACAAACTTCCCGTACCGTAATTAAAAATCTTGGTACGGAACCCAAAAAAATTTTTACAAAAAGTGTACAAATTATTAAAAACTCTATAAACCAGCTGATAATTTTATGTACATATGTCCAATAAACATTTTTGACCGCCAAATGGCATTTTTTTACTTATTTTTATTGAGAGACCATAACCGCTGGACCTGCCTTCCCAAAAATCTAACCAGTTCATCTTGTCAATACAAGTAAAATGTTTTTTGAATTATTAAAATCGGCCACTCCGCTCTCTTAAAAACTGAGTTACCGTTTGTGGCGCTTTTTGCCCCATATCTCCGAAACGGCTGGACCTGCCTTTGCTAAAAACTAATCAGCACATCCCCTATCAATAGGAATCGAATGTTTTTTGAACCATTCAAATCGGTTAATCCGTGCGCCCGAAATCGTCATTCGGAGGTATGCCAAAATCCGTGCGCCCGAATTCATTTTTTCGGAGGTATGCTAAAATGTTCAGAAACCTTCACAACGTGAAGAAATGTAAAAAATTTCAATTTCGATTTTTGGACGATAACAATAACTTACCCTATGGGAAGTTAATAAATGCTAAAGAAATAAAATTTAAATAGAAGTCCTAGCATTCAAATGCAAAAATCTAAAATTTATAGGAAAATATGGTGCAAGCAATTTTAATATATCCTGAATGATTCAAAGAATGAAGTTTTCTTATTTTTTTTAAATTTAAGTTCAATTTCAAGAAACAAAAGGTTATCAAAATCATGTCCTTTGCATCCTACCTTGCGCAGAAATAATATTGCTGAAATCGATTTTACAAAAATCTAAATTGCACAAAATTTGCATAAACGTGTTTGCATAAAACCCTAAATTTTCAATAATAAAATTAAGCTAAAATTATTAATTTACAACTACAATTATTAATTTACTACAATAATTAATTTCCACCTTGGAGCCTGCACATCGAGGCCTCTTAAACAATACCATCTTTTATCACCGAACAATCATCTTTAATCTTTTCAATCCGGCCCTGATCTTAACTAACAAATCTAATACAATATATCATTTTGATATACATTTATAGTAATATAAATTAAGCGCATTACAAATTTGACAAGGTAAGGTCAGCGACCTACTGCTCGTTGAACCTTTTTCCAGTTTCATTTTTTTTTCACATTATTTTCTACTACAACCGTAGCAATACCTTCAAGTTCAATGACAGAAAAAAGAATCAACACAATAATAAGGAACTAGCTGAGAGTGGCATTTTGCCTTAAGGTAATAATTGACTTAGTTAACCGAAATTAGGAGTTACATATTTAGATAAAATTTTCAACTATCGAAAATATAATTTTTCTTTCACTTACATTGCGATTTCGAATTTTATACATTTTTTACATTTGCGATAGAATTTTCTCAAACACATTTATAATACCTGTAGTTATTACATTAATTATATTGCACAGGCACGTGCTTGTATGTCCTAAAATTGTAGCTTATTATTTTACATTTTAATGAATTGATAATGTTTGACTCATCACATCACAAGAGCAACTTTTGACACAAATTTTGACTATAATATTTTTTCAAACTTTGATGAATTTTCAAAATTAATCTACTTGCTGTAGAGCCGTAAAATTTCAGTATGTTCTATAAGACCATGATATATATCGCCAAAAAAATTCTAACTAGTGGTGTATGGCATCGTGCCTTAAGGCAAATTGCTGGAACTTCCCGTACCAAAAATCATTTCTTTTAAAGAAGATTAAATTTTTTTTAACTTTGAAAAAATTAGATTTTTGAGAAATTTTACATTTTTGAAAAAAATTGACTTTTTGGAAAAAAAACTTGTGAAAAATCTTGTTATTTTCTACTTTGTAATATTTTTAACTTTTTTTCAAACCAATCGCACTGCTTTAGCTGCATAGAGATGAAATTTCGAAGCGCATAAACGCCACGTCGCCGTCCAATTGAAATAAAATTGATACACATTATTAAAATCTTTATAAAATACCTGATAATTTGATGTGCATATGTCTAATGATCATTTTTGACCTCAAAATGGCATTTTTTACTTTTTTTTACTAGATCTCCGAAACCGCTGGGCATGCCTTTCCAAAAATTTAATCAGTTCTTCATCTTATCAATACAAGTAAAATGTTTTTTGAATTATTAAAATCGGAGGCTCCGTTCTCCTAAAAACTGAGTTACCGTTTTTGGCATTCTTTGCTCCGTATCTCCGAAACGGCTGGACCTGCCTTTGCCAAAAACTAATCAACACGTCTCCTTATCAATTCGAATCGAATATTTTTTGAAATACTCAAATCGGTTGATCCGTGTTTCCAAAATCGTCGACGAAAATTTGTATCCGCACACGCACACACACGCCCCCCCATCAAAATTCATGGGTGGGCTCAAGCCCACGCAGCCCACGCGGTTCCGACGCCACTGTATATATATATATATATATATATATATATAAAATTTTCATTTTCGATTTTTTTGCAATTGCCATAACTTACCCTACGGAAAGTCAAAAATCGTCGAAAAATTTTTTTCAACTGTTAATTACAAAAAAACGGCCCGGCCGATCTTTACCAAAAACTAATCAGTATCATTCCCAACCAAAATATTTTGAACAATTTTTGATTTTTTAAAATCGATTCGGTAGTATGAGCCTAAATGTGGACGAAAAGTTTAACACTTTTTTCAAAATTACAAAGAAACGGCTCGGCCGATGGTCGGATAAAACTGAGAAACGATAATCCTCATCGAGATACATCGAATGGCTTTTAAATTTCTGAAATCGGTTCAGGCGTTTTTGAGCAAACGTCGATGAAAGTTCTAATTTTGACAAATGCCAAAAAAAGGATACTAATTTTTGCAAACTTTGACGAATTTTTAAAATTAAACGAGTTGTCGTAAGGCCGTAATATTTCAGTATGATCTCATCCCATGGTATCTACCGTCAAAAAAAATCATAAAAATCGTCGAAAAACATTTTTTTTACACTTTATTACAAGAAAACGGCCCGGCCGATCTTTACCGAAAACTAATCAGCACGATTTCCAATCAAAATCTTTCGAACAGTTTTTGAGTTTTCAAAATCGATTCAGAATTGCGGGCTAAAACGTGGACGAAAAATTTATCACTTTTTTGCAATTTACAAAGAAACGGCTTGGCTGATCGCAGCACAAAATTTCCAAACGCTAGTCCTTATGGAGTTGCATCGAATGGCTTTTAAAATTTTGAAATCGGTACAGCCGTTTTTGAGAAAATCTGACCAAAATCGGCTCACGCACACACATACTTTTTCCAAATTTCGTCTCATTCGATTCAGAATGACTTGAAACGACAAGAAAACATAAAATAAGCAAAGCGGATTTTTTTATGAAAACAAACTTCTCCTTCGGGAATTAAAAAATACATACAAAATTTATTAATGGGCAAACGACTGTAATCATAAATGGCTAGACGTGTGTATTATTGTCAATAACATTTGCACGTGTTAAAAAAACGATAAACATAATTTGTAATTGCTAAGATATATGAATAATTATAAATAAAACTTGTACAACAATATATGTTGAAACAATTGTCCATTACTAAATCCTACATCTAAAGGATTTTTAGTGACGTCTACCATTTTACACAACACAAGAGCTTCGACAAATGTGTCGATCCTTCAACCGTGGATTATACGCAAATATTAAAAGAATGTTTTGTATATTTTATTATACTACTATCAATTATTACTTACATCATCTGAATTTCATAATTTCCTGCACAATCACTTCACTTTAATCACTGATTTTCAGGTTATTTTGTTTTGTTAGTCCTGTTTTGCACGAGAGAACAGATGTACTATTGACATGATACCGAACCAACACAGACGCACATGATAAAAGAGATAACCTGTTCTTGTGGTTGAGAGATTGGCTAAAAGATGGCGCTGGTTAAAATTTTCAAAAATTTAATTTGAAGTTTTAAATTTACGAAATTTTGTTAAACTAAAATTAGAATTAGGTGAAAATATTATTATTAGGTGTAAGTGGTGGTTTTGCCTGCAGGCAAGTTGCAAGAATTTTCCGGAACGTACTATCAACCTAAGAATAGGCCTACGAAATCACCAATAATAATAATAATTACTAATAATACATTACTATTATACAATAGTAATAATTACCAATCATACATTACATATAAAATAAATATAGAAAATAAACAATATTAACTGAACATGTTTTGTTTTTAATTTTAAAACTGAAAATTTGTGTGATTTGAGTTATGAGCAGATAAAACGCTACGAAAAGTCACGTGACACATAAGGAGTCTATGGAGAGGTTTTCAAGAATAGTTAAACAGTAAGGACACAAATTTGGAAAATAAAACCTATCAAATAGTACATGAAACACAATAATCAAAGATTTGGAGAATTATTTATGTTTTTGAAAAAATTAATAATATTATGATAAGAGTCATGTATTAGAAGAGCAGAATTTCGTTTATTAACGCAAAGGGGTTTTAAAGAAATAAATACAAACTCAGCAAATTTTCTGAAAAGTTGAAATTCAGCAATGTAGGTCGAATGTTTAACGGATTATTTTGATAATAAAATTTTTGTTTTTGAAGAAAAATAATGTATACAATATTTTAAACATGTAATTGTATAAATTAATTTCAATCATTTAATAAATTTCTATTAACTTTATGTTCTAATAATGATTTTTTTTAAGTGTGGACGTCAACAGTAATCAGCAACTTCACAACAAAATATTGACGATAATAAAATTGATAATAAAATTTTCGCATTTGGTAAAAAATAATTAATACAATATAATATCTGTAATTGTATAAATTAAATTTAATTATTTAACAAGTTCTGATAATGATTTTTTTTTAAGTGTGGACGTCAACAGTAATCAGCAACTACACATCAAAATATTAACGATAATAAAACTGATAATAAAATTTTCGCTTTTGATAAAATATAATTTAATACAATATATGTAATTGTATAAACTAAATTAATTCATGTAACAAATTTTATTCAACTTCTTGTTTTAAAAATGATTTTTTTCAAAACGATAATTAGCAACTACACAACAAAATATTAACGACAATAAAATTGATAATAAAATTTTCGCTTTCGATGAAAAATAATTAACACAATATAATATCTGTAATTGTATAAATTAATTCATTTAACAAATTTTATTCAACTTCTTGTTCTAATAATGAATTTTTTTTAAGTATGGACGTTAACGTTAATCAGCAACTACACAACAAAATATTAACGGCGCGGTTTTTAAACACAAGGTTCATTATTCCAAATTTTGATTAATTTTTATAATTCAACCACCAGCCGTAGGCCTATAATAATTTATCTATCCGTAGGGTAAGTTATAATAATCGTCCAAAACTCGAAAATAATATTTTTTTGCATATTATATAACATTTTGCAAAATCTTGGAAAAAATGGATGTATGTGTACGTGTGTGTGTGGATACAATTTTTCGTCCAGTTTTTGTGGTCAAAAATCAGATATAGTCAAATAAGAGAAAAGGTCAATAGTCACAACATAAAGTTAGCAAACAGGATTCTCTGGCAAACACCTACCTTCGGAAAGCCGACTGCCAATTTTTGTCAAGCTTTATTCTAAAATTATTACATCTTCAATCAAAGATGTTGTCGAAAAAGAATACTGCTTTAATTGTGTTTCCCACAATAAAGTCTTCTAAATTTTTATCTCACTGTTTAATTACGTCTCTGTTTGGTCTTCGATTTGCTAAAGGATACACATCAGCACCAATAAACACTTTTCACATCATGGATATTAATTATTATGAAGAGATTTCATTTAAAAACAACTCTTGTATCTATATGAAACCCTCAGTGTATGCTCATCCACCTAAATTTAAGTATTGTTTTATATTAATTATATTACATTTATTTTTTTCACCAAATTATGTGCTAAATTAAAATCCACCCTGCGCAAGGATCTGCAGATAAAAACAATAAATAAGCTCATACAAAAACAAAGCAAACTAGCTGTAAGTGGAATTCTGTCTTGAGGCAATTATGGCATCGTGCCTTAAGGCAAATTGCTGAAACTTCCCGCACCGTAACGAAATGTTCGAGGAATACTGAATGTTTTCAAATAGATTATTATAAATATTGTAACATTGTGTAATATTTATAAGAATTATATAAACCGAATTGCAGAGTTAAAATTAAAATCTTAAATATTTTCGATATACAAAATACTAAAAAAAAAAAAAAAAAAAAAAAAAAAAAAAAAAAAAAAAAAAAATTGAACAAAATTTTTTTTTTCAAAATCAATTATTTTGTTAAGACAAGCAGAAAGTTCTTTGAATCATTTAAATCGGACGCTTAGTTCTCTCAAAAACTGCCATTTTTTACATATTTAGCTCCGTATCTTCGAAATGGCTGGGCCTGCCTTTGCCAAAAACTAATAAACACTTCTCCCAATCATTACTAATTGAATGTTTTTTAGATCATTCAAATCGGATACTCCGTTCGCTCAAAAATTCGATTTCTATTTTCTGCACTCTTTGCTCCGTATCTCCGAAACGGCTGGACCTGCCTTTGCCAAAACTAATCAGCTCTTTTCCCAATCAATAGGAATCGAATGTTTTTTGAACCATTCAAATCGGTTGATCCGTGCGCCCTAAAACGTGACTGGAAATTTGTATCCACACTACATACACACACACACACACACACACACACACACACACACATCCATTTTTTCTGAGGTATGCCAAAACGTTCAGAAACCTTCAAAACGTCGAGAAATGTAAAAATTTTCAATTCCGATTTTCGGCCCATTACAATAACTTACCCTACGGGAAGTTAAAAATATAATAAAAAGCTGCTAGATTATCTGAATAATAACATACACTAGTTAAACCAAGAGGTATCGATTCAAACACAAAATATGGCAATCTCATTAGAAGTACAAGCACTGAAAAAAAATCAATAAAGGTATCTAGTTGGAAAATCTTCCTCAAAGTTATAAAAACCAGCTCATAGTATATATAAAAAAAAAATTATATTCTGATAAAATGTATGATAAAACAAATAAACTTTCTTCTCCACATGCATTCTTAGAACATTTCAAAATTAGTATTTAAATTTTCATGTAATTCTTATTGAAAAGGCTGTTTTAAAAAATGTACGTTATATATTTTATAATCTTAAAATACAAATACTTATATTTTACTTGTGTAGGTACAAAAACAGTCACATGTAGAAAAGACACATTTCAATTCCCAGACGACAGATGAAAATCCTGCAATACTTTTTACAATATAATAATTTTTTTGTTTACAATTTTGATTTTAGCTTTGCCATCAGCTTTTCCAGTTTCATAGCCTTTTGAAGATCTCCGGAGATCTTCAGCTTGCCCATCATGTAGGCGACTGCTGGTTTAAGTTGACCTAAAAGAGGGAAAAAAATTAGAACTAGTGGTGTATGGCATCGTGCCTTAAGGCATATTGCTGGAACTTCCCGTACCAAAAATTATTTTTTTTTTTAAAAAGATTAACATTTTTGAAAAAAATTTACTCTGAAAAAATTAGATTTTTGAGAAACTATAAACTTTTGACAAAAATTTACTTTTCTTAAAAAAAAAGACTTTGAAGAAAAATTTATTTTGAAATATTTTAGAAATTCTGAACTTTCTTCAAAGTAATCGTACTGCTTTAACTGCATGGATACGAAATATGGAAGCGCGTAAGCGCCGCGTCGCCGTCTAACGAAAAAATATTGGTACGGAACGCTTAGGAATGTAAACAAAATTCATACTTATTGTTAAAATCTCTATAAAATATCTGATAATTTGATGTACATATGTCTAATAATCATTTTTGACCGCCAAATGGCATTTTTTTTTTTACTTTTTTTTACTAGATCTCCGAAATGGCTAGACCTGCCTCCATGAAAATAAAGTTCTTCATCTTGTTAATACAAGTAAAATATTTTTTGAATTATTTAAATCGGACGCTCCGTTCTCTTAAAAACTGAGTTACCGTTTTTGGCACTTTTTGCCCCATATCTTCGGAACGGCTAGACCTGCCTTCGCCAAAAACTAATTAGCAAGTCTCCTTATCAATACGAATAGAATGTTTTTTGAATTATTCAAATCACTTCATCCGTGTTCCCGAAATCGTCGACGAAAATTTGTATCACACATACACGCACATACACACACACACATACACATACATCCATTTTTTCTTAGGTATGCCAAAATATTCAGAAGGTTTTGAAACGTATAGATATATAAAAATTTTCATTTTCGATTTTTTTGCGATTACTATAACTTGCCCTGCGGGAAGTTTATATTAAACTTTTGAATGGCTAAAATTTCTAAAATCGGTCTAGCCGTTTTTGAGAAATCGTCGATGTAAGGTCAAAATTCAATTCACATTTTTACAAATTTGGTCTCAAATGATTCAGAAAGACTTGAAACGTCGAGAAAACAAAATTAGCAAATCAGACTTTCTGGCAAAAGTTAAAACTTCGGGAAGTTTTAATAATAGTGATTAATTTATTTACCTCCAAACATTTTCAAGAAATTATCAGTGTCCATTGTAAGAACAGCATCAGCCTTTTGTTTAGTCGGTGGTCCTCTACCGACTGAACCAGCTCCTTCTTTCAAATTCAAATGCCATGTGCTCTTCTCAGAACCTAAAACATTTTATAAAAATATACCTTGAAGTAAATGAAGATAGCATATAAAATTTTATTACCCACCGGTTACTTCAAATTGATAAATAGCATTCGTGCTCTGAACAATTTCCGGACCCAAATTGGCATTAATAACTTGGAACAAATGACCAATTTTACCAGAAAAATCAACACTGCCACTCGATGACCCTCCAGAACTTCCAACTGGCGTCACTACTGTCTAGAAGAAAAAAAAACATAACATAAATTATCATTCAAAATTAATATTTTAGTTAATTTTTATATTAATACCTGATTAAAAAGAAGGGTATGGGCATCTAAGGTGTTGGAATTTTTAGGGACAGAGGAAACGCGGTTGAAACATTTTTCAATAATACTTTTCTTATTTCTCAGTACAATATTTTCCATTTGTGTAGGATAATTGTCCAGAACTTCCTTGTTCGTGCAGTTTTCAAACTGCAATTTATTCCATTCGGTTTTATCAAGAAGGTACTTGTTGGTGATTTCTTTTAAATCTTTGCTAACGTTTTTCAGTTTTTCGTTTGTATCGTCCTTCAGCATTTTTTCTGTATTTTCAGAAGACCACAAAACAATATCATCATCTGTTATGTTCTTTTTAACATAACCGTTGTCCTCAAAATTTTTGTTTGTGTATTTATATGTAAAAATATTTTTGGACGGTACAAGATCGTCGTTTTTGGAATCTCTGGTGCACAGAACGTCGCCAAAGTTACACTTTTCCGATTTGTTATTTAATATTTCACAAGTGTCCTCAGTCACCAATTTTTTATCTTGCGGAGGTAAATTTTTAGAAGGCTCAATATCAACAGTCTTGTTAATGAATTTTTTTAACGTGTTTGTTAATACTGATTCATTCTTCTTCTGTCGTCCAGAATTTTGGAATACCAAACTCGCAAGAGCACTCATAATTTCACTATTAAAAAACATCGGAATAATAGATTTAACACATTGTGTATCATCAGTCTCGTATGAAACCATATCCAAATATTGATACTCGGTATATTCACTATTCCAAACATCATCGACTTCTTCATATTCCGTGGTGTAATAATCAGGAGACCCAAATAACGCATTCAAATCGAAATAAATAAAATTTCCTAAACCGAATTTGAACAGATCATATTTTGGCAAAATACTTTCGACCGTACACGGTTCTTTATCTTTTGTAACAATTTTCTCGATAGTTTTCATCACGTCTTCGGATTTATTGATTGGATTAACAATATCGATTTGTTGTCTTGTGATTTTATCGTCATCGTAAATATTTGATGAATTTGGTAACACATCTTTCTGCTTAAGCAACTTTCAGGATTAATGGACATAGGAATTTAGGATTGGATTAGATTTAGGTTGATTTATACTTACATTGGCGTTTGTTCCCAGGAAGAAATCTGGCATGAGTTTATCACTGTTTTCTGAAAATTAAATATTAAAACTTGCTTTTTATAGTGCGAAAAAAATTGTCATAAACGAATTATATGAACCTGGTTTAATTGCATAATGTTTAAAATCTGTTACACCAGCCTCTGCTAAAACTTCATCATCGATAAGGAATTTACCAGTAGTCTTCAATGGTGTTCTGTGAAAAAAATTATTACAAAATTTTCAACAGTTATCAAAATAACCAAACAACGCGAGTCTATATCAAATTTCATCAAATCGCTTTTAAATTATTAAAATCGGAACAGCCGTTTTGGATATTTTCGAATTTCTTTGCTCCCAGGGACTCAAATGCTTCCAAATTAATAAAAAAAATCTCTGAAAGTTTTAGCTGTTAATATTAACTTTTAGATAGTTCGCACTTCAACCACAGTTTTTTATAGAAATGATGGAAATAAATAATACCATGGGTAAAATCCCATTTGTTTTTTTTTAGAATTTTATAACTTAGTGAATCAAAATTTTGGGAATAACATTGTATTTGCTTTTTTTAATCATAAATAAAAAAATTACAACAAACATTTGATATATTTTATAAAATAAAAATTTACTTAGGAAGAAATAAACAAGAAATATTTCAAAAATTACTCAAAATATATTATATTATGATGAAAAAATCGTAATTTGTTGAAAATTTTCTAAAAAAAAAACATGGTTCTGAATTTCAATTGATATTTGTTCACTTATTTATATTTTTATTATTCAGTTTCCCACCTAATCCACTTATTAATCAGTTATTTCAGAAATTATATATATGATTATGTGTTAATAGAAATATGAGTAGTTGGAGGCAAAACTTTCAAAAAAAAATTTAACAATTTGGAAACATTTAAACCCCTGGGGGGTTAACTTCAATAGAAATTCGAAAATACCGATATTAAGGATCATACTAAATTACATACACACGTAATTTTTCTCTAAATATGCAAGGAAAGTCCTCATAGACTAGCATTACGTAGAAAGAAAGAGCAAACGGCACTTATTAAGAGAAAAGTATATTTAAAAGAGAAAATCAAAGTATTCTAGATCCTCCCCCTATGAAGTAATGTTAACGTCGGTCGCTGTAGGACAAAGAGCAAAAGAAAAGCTAAAGTTTTAGTCGGTAATATACCCAGGCAGTATTTAGACCGACCTACCCAGAGAAAAGACCTAGTTTGATATTCGTAAATGCATTTTCTTTGCTATACAAAAAAAAACATTCTTTTCCTAAATTTGGTGTCGCGCGATTAAGAACGAGAAAACATAAAATAAGCAAGACAAATTATCTTCTTCTTCAGAAGTTTTTTATTTTAATTTTACCATAAATTGATATATTTTTTATTGACCGAACATAAAGCAATAATTTTTAGTCGATTTTTTCGATTTTTTGGACCTCTCTCCCCTTGGTGATATTTAAAATTACCCACCCCCATCAAACATCACGTGTATTTTTAGTTACGTAAAATTTTTCGAATTTACAGAAAAGTCTTTTTTTTTTTGAAAATTTAGGTAAAAAATAAATACACGTGATATCTTACTAGACCGTCCCGCCCCCACGTGATTTTTCGAGATTTTTTTGACAATTTTAATAGATTTCTAATATCAAAATTTTTATCAATGAATGTACCATCAAGAAATACTAAATATTTTATAAACTAAATTTTTTTTAATTCAATTCGACTTACTGGCTAAGGACCACATATGCAGCATCAGCCATAATTTCAGGAACACGAGACACTTCAGCAGCACTGTCCCCTGCCAACATCTCCATTGCAGCTGTATAAATAGCTAAAAAAAAAACAAATAAAGCAACCACAGTTTTAATTATTATTTGAATCCGTTGGAAATAATTCTTACCTGTTCGTGGCCAAAGTGCATTTACAGAAATATTTTTGTTTTGATATTCTCTAGCCATACCTAAAACGCACATACTCATTCCATATTTAGCCATTGTGTATGCAACATGGTCTCTGAACCTGAAAATAATTGAAAAGTTAAATATATAACATTCTTTTACCACTGTGAAGTCATTTTGATACAAAACAAAAAATTAAACGACAAAAATGAATTAAGATTTCTGTAGGAAAGCATAAAAATCACATGGATAACTTTAAAATTACGAAATTACTACTTTGAAAAAAAAAGTGAGGCACAGTGAACAATTAAAAAGGAAAAATTATGCAAATTTAAACAAATATATAAAGAAAACAAATTCCATAAAATTATAAAAAATAAAATTAAAATTAACAACAGTCTTTTAAAGAAAAAACTACATTCTTTTTCCACTAGTTATATTAAATGATATAAAAATTAATTCAAACCATGGTTTCAAAGTATAATTTATTTTTGGATTACTTACCAATCAGGATCCATATTCAACGGTGGAGAAATATTTAAAATGTGTCCATGCGAGCTCTTTTGTATATGTGGCAGGCATTCCTTTGATCTGATAAAACAATAATCAAAATGAATAAATCATGGCAGATTATAATAATGAGTATTTAAAAAAATAATACATACACTAAAAATGTTCCTCTAGTATTAATCTGATGCATGAGATCAAACTTTTTCATATCTGTATTTTCTGTGGGCGTTAGAGAGATTGCACTGGCATTATTTACTAATATATCTATTCCCCCAAACTTAAAAAAAAAAAAATAAGAATAATTTTAATAAATAATTGATAAAAATTTTGAGATTTAGAATGAGTACCTTATTTACAGCTTGTGCGACGGCATCTTTAACTTGCTCTTCATTTCTGATGTCGACTATGCAAGGCAATGCTTTTCCTCCGGCCTTTTCAACTAGAAAAAATAAACAATATATATATATATATATACATATATATATATATATATATATATATATATGTAATATTTTTGCAGCCAAATCGTCGATTTAAAAAAAAAATTAAATAACAAAATTATTTTTTCCATTAAACGTTTTGACACTTGATGTGTGTCATCATTCAGTAATCAGTAATCAGTAAAAAACATATAACAAATACAAAGTTGATGATAAATATAAATATATAAAAAAAGGAGGGAATTATACATACCAAACCAGGAAAAACAAGAGAAAAAATTAATTATGATGTAAAATTGATTGAACACTAAATTTGTGTAAAATAATATTTTACATAATAGTAAATTGATAATAGTATATATTAATATACTATTATATTAACAACCGAGAAAGTGAAGGAGCACATATTGCCCTCCTATATTTTATGTTATTAATAGCGGTGCATTATGGACACTGATCAAGGTTACAAAGCAAGTGTATATATATATATATATATATATACATATATATATATATATATATATATATATATACTAGCTGGCTCAAAAAACGTTTAGCCAAAAAAAAAATTCTAGAAAATGTTTCAAAGGATAGAGCGAATAAATTTTGACATATTTAGTACTCAAAAAGCCGATAATTGATCAGTTCGATATAAGCTAGATAAAAAAAATTCTTTTAAGACTTCTAAAATAACTATTATGAAATAGCTAAATAGGATGGTAAAAATTTATAGTTGCGTGTATATAGTTTTATAACAATTTCTTACTCTCTTCGGCAGCGCTATAAATAGTCCCTGGCAATTTGGGATGTGCAGTTGCAGTTTTGGCAGCAACAACAATATTAGCACCATCACGAGCTGCTTTTAAAGCTATTGCTTTACCAATTCCTCGAGAGGCCCCAGTAATAAACAGTGTTCGACCAGCAAGTTTACTAGAAGATAAATGGAAAATAAATTAATATAATCTCTTTGATAAAAGATATATATTAGATAGAGTAAATTGTGAAATTTATAATAAATTAATTTATTTTATTCTACATTATCATTATTTATTACAATTCAGCCTGGCAACTTAGATATATTTATAAATAAAATAAATAATAATAATGTAGAATAAAATGATTTTTAATTTAGGAGAATAAAACAATGTAATGCAGGTTTTTTTATTTTTTTTTTTGCACAGATTTATTGCCATTCAAAGTAATATAATATTTGAACAGAATATGTTGGGTGTAAATGCATTTAAAGAGATTATCTCCTATGAGATATTTTTTTTTGGCATTTTATTTAATGTTGTATGGCCATTTTTTTTCAATCTTCAAGTAGAAGATTTCTCCCTTAATTCTTTTAAATATTTGTTTGGGAACTTGATAATTTTTCATAGTATTTTTTGCTCCTATCTTTTATCAATTACATAGAAACAAGATTCTTTGCACACTTACCAGTTAAAATCAATTTAACTTAATCGACTTCAATCAATAAACTGTTAGGTATATGCATTCGATATACAAAATGAAAATTAAACAGATAATGTATTAGCCGATTGAAATGCTTCATATTTAAAATAATATACAGTGTTTTGTATAATAAAACACTTTGCAATATATAATTCAAAGGGTAATTGTTAAGTAATCATATTAGAATGGAAGTAAATTAATCTGACTTATAAGTGATTAGCATTTGTTGGATTTGTGCAAAATTATTGTATGTCAGATCAGTCGAACAAAAATAATTAAAGATAATGAAGTATAAATTAAGAATGCATATTTAAATATCAAAATGACGTATGACTTATTTAAAAAAAAACTATTTATTTGATTACTATCTGAATCTTTGCATCGAGAACAACTTTTAGGCCAAAGTCCATTCCCATACAACATAACCTCAAAAAAAATATTTTTTATTTAACTTTAAGTAAATTATTTTATACAAACCCCGTATTTGAAATCATGTTTTTAATCTTGTGTTCACTTGAATTTATCCAATGGAATTAATATTTTTGCACAAGGGAACAAAAACAAAATTTCCGAACTGTTTTTGGACCTAAAATGACAAGTTGCACCTTGCACTACTCTCCTACTCTCCTTCTGCCGACGACATAAATAAATAATAACAGTACTTGCAGTCGAAGCGAAGGTGGAATTATTGACAAAAGATGGCAGTGATAATTGGTTGTATTTCCTGGAAGTTAAAATTTGAATTAATGGTTATATTTAGTTTGTTGTTTTTTTGTTTGTTTGACAATATATATTAGTTATTACGAGTTACTTTCACATTTACACAACTAATATAAATATCTTTTTTTTTATGTCATGTCATTTTAAAATTTATGTCATGTCATGTCATTTCAAAATGCTACCTTTACAAGAAATTAAGGGCCAATTCTCCAATAAAATAGAAATGTTATGATAATGCTATATTACAGTCCTATCTTCGTATGAATTGGTAGTAAAAACCATAAAAAAAATCTATCTATTTGCTGTGCGATTCGGCGTTTCACACATAAAACCTAACTTCACGCATGTTTATCAAATAAACCGTTGTCGAGCCGGAACGCTCCGGAACGTATTTCCGGTACTTCCTTTTCGGACAGGAACGCGTTCCGGAACTAAAGATGGTTTTGGTAAAGCGACTGACGTATTGAAAAAAGATTTAAAAAATCAAATTACTAATTTTTGACGAATTTCCATGCGCATTATTAAAAACGAGGATTTGAACCCAACCCGAACCGGGACAAAAACCGGAACAAACCTACTTTTTTTTCGAATCGTGAACCAGAATCCGCTTTTTCTCCCGAACTGGAATTTTAAATACTAACACCGATTTTCAAATTTCTACCGACCGAAAAAAACGGAATATTACTTCTACCGAAAAAACGAAAATACTAGAACTTTAAATACGGAAACCGATTTTTAAAATTTTATCGTTTCTGTAAAAAAAAGCACATGGCCACTGACCGTATCATAAGATATTGAACCGGCCGTAAAAACCGAAAACCGGAAACCAACCGAAAAAATGGAAAAAACGGAATATGAAACGGACCGAAAAAAACGAAAAAACTGGAACTTAGAATACGAAAACCGATTTTTTAAATTTTACCGTTTCAATAAAAAAGCACAAGACCACTGACCGTATCATAAGACATTAAAGCGACCGAAAAAACCAGAAACTAACCGAAAAAAACAGAAAAAACGGAATATAAATACGAAAACCGATTTTTAAAATTCTACAGTTTCGGTAAAAAAAAAGCACTAGACCACTGACCGTATTTTCATGAGATATTAAACCGACTGAAAAAGACCGAATTTTCATAAGATATTAAAAACAAGGATTTGACACCAACCTGAACCGGGACAAAAACCAGAACAAACCGACTTGTTTTTTCCGAACTGTGAACCGGAATCCGTTTTTTTTTCCGTTTCGGTAAAAAAAATAGTAACAGACCACTGACCGTCAAAGAATAGGCCCCTAAATTTACATAAAGAACTATTTATCAAAAATAATAAATATCAGAAATAATTATAAAAAAAACTGCCCAAATTTATTTTAATGGTAAAGTTGCAATTTTAAAACTGTTATATTTAAGTAATATACCCAGAAACAGCAAAAACAAATATTACAAAGCAATAGCAATAGTACTATAAGAACCAGCTTAAACAGTAAAAAAGAAAATTGGTTTTATAGAAAATAATCAAATAGAAATACTAAATAATATTATTAAAAACATTAGTAAAAAAAAAGAAATTATAGATCAGTAATTATAGAAGACCAACGGATAAATGTTTGCGACATTTCCGGTTTAAAAAATCAAATTTTAATCTAATTTGATTTTTAAATCGCTTCACATCATGCACGGCATAACACTACCAAATACTATCAATAACCATTTATATTTGCATGAATATATAAATTATTACCACTGTATATTATTATTCACTTTACAATGCTTTTATTCTTTGTCACTTTTTGCATTTATTAACCCAAATTTTATTAATTAAAATTATCCAAGTATATTCTAGGAATTACTTCAACAGACTGACACGTATATACGTATAAATTTGGTTCTGTAGACTTTTTCATGTTTAGACTACGACCGTAGCGTTTTTCAATAACAACATATGTTGAACATTGGACCGGATTGATAATTATGCTATTGAAAGCATTACACTGCACTTTAGTAAAAATAAGCCTATAACCAATAATAATATGTAATCATATCAAGTTATTTGTAACCGAAAAATAGAAAGTACAAGTCATTGTTTTTATTCATAGTTCAAATTCTCTACGTGAATGAATTATTAACTTCCCGTAGAGTAAGTTATAGTAATCGCAAACAAATCGAAAATGAAAAATTTTATATATCTTTACGTTTCAAAGGTTTCTGAACATTTTGGCATATCTTAGAAAAATGGATTTATGTGTGTGTGTGTGTGCGGATACGAATTTTCGTCGACGATTTCGGGAACACTGATGAACCGATTTGAATAATTCAAAAAACATTCGGTTCGTATTGATAAGAAGACGTGCTGATTAGTAATTGGCGAAGGCAGGCCTAGTCGTTCCGAAGATACAGGCAAAAACGGTAACTCAATTTTTAAGAGAACGGAGCGTCCGATTTTAATAATTCAGAAAACATATTACTTGTATTGACAAGATAAAGAACTGATTATATTTTTGGGAAGGCAGGTCTAGCGGTTTTGGGGATATTGTGCACACATTTTGTGTAAATTTTTTTAAATTCCGTACCAAGATTTTTAAAGACGGTACGGGAAGTTCCAGAAATTTGCCTCAAGGTACGATGCCATGCACCCCACTAGTTTTATTTATATATGCAAAAAAAAATACTTTTCCACATGCCATTTTTTAAACTATTGTTTGGGTATGTTGGGCTCAATAATAATAGCAACTAGAACATTAATTTTGCTCTTTAAACCGCCATTAGCATTACATTAGGGTGGGGGGAGAATCTAGAATCTTATATTTTTGTTTGGTTTTCTTTTCCCTTGCAAATTTCTGATATCATCATCACTACTGGTAGTAGTTCTGGTGTGAATCTATTAATGTCTTTTCTACAGCAACGCATTGCGCACTAAAACGTGGGCACACATAGAAAACGTGCTCCGCATCTTGGGTAGGATCAATTTGGGTGTAGGATCTAGAATGTTATTATTTCTTCTGGTTGGAGTCATTCTCTCTTCCCTTGCAAATTTCTGAAATATCATCACTTCCAAAATAGTGTAAGTCTGCCAATGTCTTTTCTACAGCATCGCGTTGCGCACTAAAACGTGGGCACACATAGAAAACTTTCTCCACGTCCTTAGTTTCGAAATAGCTTTCAAAATTGAAATCCGTTTTTAAGAAAACATCGACGGAAGGTCAAATTTTACTTCACATATATGTTTTCCAATTTTAGTATCAAATAATTTAAAACATCAAGATAAAAAATAAACCGATTGAATTTTCTTAACAAAAATTCTCCGTCAGTAAGTTAAAAATAAACCGTTCTTGTAAGTCATATTATATATATCCAGTGCTGGATTTACAGTAGGGGCAATCGGGGCTACTGCCCAGGGCGGCAAATTTTGGGGGGCGGCAAAATTTGGATAGTGAGAAAAAAATTCTATATATAATCAACTTTTTTTAACATTTTTATTTCAAAAAATATAATTAACAAAACATAATACGATTGCAATGCAAAATTTGGGTTGAAATAAACGATAACTAAAATTTATTATTTTGTCTTGCCTCCCTCTCCTAACGTAAATTATCAAATTGGATAATAAGTTATCAAATTTGGCAATTTGGCCAAATTATGAACTTTTTGCAAAACAATCGCGCTGGGTAGCTGTTTCAGAGAAGAAATATCGAAACGCAATTACCATTTTTCGTAATAGCCTGTACCAAAAGCTAATCAGCACTTCGGATCGCAGATCAACCGATTTATGATTCAATTCCTATTATAAGGAGACGTGCTGATTAGTTATTGGTCAAGGCAGGTCCAACTGTTTTGAAGATACTGGCCAAAATGCCAAAAATGATAATTCAGTTTTTGAGAAAAAAGCGTCCAATAACATTCAAAAAAGTTTACAGAATAAATAACTGCACATTATATTATCAGATATTTTAAAGATATTATAATATTAAGTATAAATTTTGTTTACATTTATATAAGTTCTGTAACATGGTTTATCCGTTAGACTGCGACGCGGCGCTTACGCGCTTCTATATTTTGTCCCTCGCAGTTGAAGCAGCGCGATTGCTTTAAAAAAAAAGTTCGAAAGTTTGTAAAATTTCAGGGATGGGGCGGCATTTTTGTCAGTGCCCCGGGGCGCCAAATTTCTAAATCCGGCCCTGTATATATCATCCTTGCCTGTAATTTCAAACACAAATTTGTAAATAAATGCAACAAATGTATTAAATGCAACAAAAATATATTTTTTAAACATAAAATATCAATAGTTTCTCTATATGGCTTGCTTACATTGTACTTACATTTGTTTACAGATCTGTTACAGATCTCTTTTTAAATATATACATATAATAAAAATAATTACAAAAACTGTGTTTGTATAAAGATTAAAATTGTTTGTCGACTCCAAAGCCTTTGGCACACTTCGTCGAATGTGGTGACTAATATTTACATGTTAAAATAATTAAAATATACAATAATTTTTGGCAGTGAATGTTTTTAGATTTAGTATAATTTTCTGAATGTGAAGTAAAAAAAATCTGTTTGTTATTATGGATTTATGCTTTAAGAGTTACACATACCACAAAATAAATTGAAAAAGGTAATTATTATTTTGTATTTTAATTTATCTATAAAATCTGGAATCATTTATTAATAACCTGAGTTCTATGAATATTTATAAATACAAAAATACTATGTATAAATTTAATGTATTCTTTCAAAAATCACAATTTTCTAATCCATCTTTTCTTTTGTGGCATGTGCTCTCATTTTTTTACTCTAAACAATTTCCTATAAAACTCTACCACTACTTCGTCTGATCAATTGTATATAAGAGATATGGTTTGTTTAAAAGTTCAACAAAATGTGATTCATGTTTAATCGACAGCTTATTTTCTTTATTACATATGTACGTTTGTAAAATCAGTTGATTATGTTCCGATACCACATCACTTTCCATAACTTTATCTAAATCCATCCACATGGCACTAGCAATTTCAACTTGGTCAATTTTTATATCCTCGTTTATAGCTTTGAGACTCATCATGAAATAAAGATCTGAACTGTTGAAATTAGCATTATGGGAATGGCGGAAGCAAACTAATGAATCGTATTCAGTTTTTATGTTGGTTTCTTCAAAAACTTCGCGTTGAGCTGCTTGGACTAAATCTTCTCCTGAAAAAATGGGAAAATTGACTCCTGCATAGGGATGGAAGATGATTGAAATATTTACCTATATCCACATAGCCTCCAGGTAATTTATATTTTGGTATGAAAAAATTCTTTTCCTTGACTAACAAAACCTAAAACAATTAATTTTGTCTTCAAGAATACTAACCTAACTTACTTACATTATTTCATGAATAATACTTTAATGATTAATCAAAACAAAAAATTAATTGACTATTTATTAGCTTGTTTGAATTTCATTTGTTATAAGTATAAATATATATAAATATTACACATAAAGTGTAAAACTAGGTAAGAAATTATAATTTTTTACCTGATTTTTAGAATTGATCACAACAGCTCCACTTCCAATCATCGTATGAGCATAAGCAGGTATTTTACAAGGCTCAGTAGTTGATAGCCAGCGATACATCATGACAAAACCAGCTCTCGCATGATGAAATTGAAAGCCCGACTAATTTATGAAACATTTTCCTTACATGGGTTACAAAATAAAATAAACCAATAAAGTAATCATTCAGAGTAATTCTCTCTATACATTCAGTATATCTTTCTTCACTATTTACCCAATATTTAAAAAAAAAGCAATTAATTAAATTAATTCATTAAACAAAACTATATTATAAAATGAAATAAATCAATTTCAATCTGAGCTTTAGAAAATACACAAAGTAATTGAGCTTTAGAAAATACACAAAATTAAAATAAGTAAATTTACTTTAGCACATGTAAAATATATATTAATACATTTATCTATTATAATTAAATTAAACTCACTGTGGCCAGTATAGGTACAAGACATGCATCTTTATGAGCTACTCGAAACCAAACAGCTCGGATATTCTTTTCTGTCCAATGTTGTATTGAATCTATAACAAAAACATTATTTCAAAATCAAATCAATTTAATTTAGATTAAATATGTTGTATGTATTTATTTGTTTGTTGAATATTGGCAATTACAGTATTATGGAATCGAAATTATTGAATAATAATAGGTTTGTCACATTTTAGTTTGTAAATAAAATTTGGGTGAATAAAAATGTGTACATTAACATTTATAATTAGTGTTTTAGAATTTTTTTAACGTAAACTGTGTCAATCAAATTTTCTCTTGCAGTTGCAAATATGCATTGTTTGCATACATCTAATTATAAGATATGTGTTGTTATTGAGTTTTTGTTCTTTTAATTCAATATGTTCCTACATATAGAATATAGTCTTAGATATGATATGTTTATAATTTTAATATTATTTAATGAATGATGCAAAGAAGAGTGTAGTGGATTTATTTATTTTATTTTTATTTATTCATTTATTCATAAGCAAGCCTTAATCAATAATAATAGATATTATTTCAGGTTCTTGTCAAGATTTGTATTAATATATATATATATATATATATATATATATATACATATATATATATATATATATATTTATATATATGCATTTATTTATTTACCATTTAACTTGTTCAGAAACGATGATTCTTCACAAAGTTCTTTGGAAGTATCAATAGTTGTTCCCCGAAATCTATCCAGGGTTCCTTGAAAGTATCGGTCTTCATTACTGGACATGGAACTGAAAATAATTATTAGAAATTAGATAACAATAAAACTTACTTTGTAAATTTTACAAAAATTAAAAATATATAAACATTAATAATTAGAACAATAATTTAGTACATTTATATTATTAATAGAACATTTCATCATGTATGTTTAATAATCTGTATAAAGATCTTAAAACAATAAATAACATTTTTCTATTAATATGGTAAATATTTTGACACTTCTTCATGGTTATGTCACAGACGTCAAAAATTTGAACAAACCTGAATTTTGAACAGCATGTGGTCGAAATGTTCTTAAAAAATAAACTTCTAGCTATTCTATTAAAATTTATCTTAAAAATAAGATCATTTATTTTGTACATTTATAATAAAAATATATATAAAATGATTAAAATATGCTTGCACGAGCATTACACCACAATGTCAACTTCAAGAGTCAAGGGCGAAGGTTAATAACATTTTGACGGAAGAAAATAATAGAATTTAATAATTGATTGTGTAGTTTTATATTAATTGATGATTTTTATTATTTATTTCAATATTTTTTGATATTTATTGTTTTACTGCATGTATAATTTTTATGTTTATTTTTTATTTTTTAATTTTTATTTATTTTATTTTGTATATCTCATTTGACATTTAGCAGTGTCATCTGTTTCTGCGAAGCGGAAAGCGATATTTGACATTTGCTAACGATACAGTGTACGGTATGAAGTTGGCGCCGAAAGAAAATTTAGCTGTCAACTTCAGATGTATTTAACGGATTCATATTCAAATCTGGCAATTATTTTGTCAAAACAAGCAGAAAGTTGTTTAAATCATTTAAATCGGATGCTTGGTTCTCTCAAAGACTGCAATTTTTTGCACATTTAGCTCAGTATCTCCAAAACGGCTGGACCTGCCTTTGCCAAAAACGAATCACTACTTCTACCCGTCATGACAAGTTGAATGTTTTTTGGATCATTCAAATCGGATGCTCCGTTCTCTCAAAAACTCGATTTCTATTTTCTGCACTATTTGCTCTTTATCAGCACATTTGCCTTTGCCAAAAACTAATCAGCACATCTTCCTATCAATACGAATCGAATGTTTTTTGAATCATTCAAATCGGTTGAACCGTGCGCCCGAAATCGTCGACAAAAAAATTTGTAAATGCATATACACACACACATCCATTTTTTCTGAGGTATGCCAAAATGTTCAAAAATCTCTGAAACTTCAAGATATATAAAAATTTTATTTTCGTTTTTTTGCGATTACTATAACGCGTTTAAAATTATAAATAACATACAACAATATGATTACTAATAAATATATTTTTTTATAAATAATTGTGGCAGTATGTTCAGTATAAATATTATTATAATAGGAACAATTTTTAAATATCTCATCATACAAAATTAAATTACTTAAATGCTATAATATTTACGAATTATTTTATAACAATATTGTACTATTATATGCTAGTAATAAATATTTGAGTACATCTATCTTAACAATTATGTTTATAGAGTCTGAATATCAGGCGATTTAAACGCCTGATAAGTAACATCGCATAATCAATATTTGGAAAAATTTGCTATATAAAGGAGTTCAAACTCGGTAAACATTTGGTAAAAAGAAATATCATTAGCACTTTAATGCAACTAATTGAAACTGAAATAATTGAAAATCTCTGTATATAACATATCAGACAAAATGATTTACCAGTTTTCCCTCCATATTCATTTAATTATCAATAAGAAAATAATTTACTTACTCCTAAAACCGTTTCTATTATTTTATCACAACTATATGCTCATGATACGTTGAGAAAAAAATAAAATACTGAATGTAATCTATGTCACATTAAAATTGAGTAATATCAGATCTCTACAGTTGTAATACATACATCTATTAAAATTAAATCGTTCAGACTAGATATAGTTATTTACCAAATTTCGCAATCAATGCGCATATGGGTATTCAGCTAAATATTCCACTAACATTTTTGGCAACTCCAGCCTGGTATAACCTGGTAACAATGGTAGTTTTGGCTGTCCATTTTTATTTATTGCATCGTGAATTTTCAACCTGGATAAATGTTTCAAACTCGGGACCTCTTTGTATAAAGGTCGTTTGAGTACAATTTCTGAATGTACGGAACCGGTGCTGTCCATCCAGACTTTGTTGTCGATTTTTTTCTTGACGCCATCGATTTTGTGACTGTTGCGTTTTTCTTGAAGAAGTGTGAAGTTTATGTAGAATTCGATGAGTTTTATGATGCAGGTGAACTTTGGCATTGATTGTTGGAGGTTTTGCTGAGAGTCGAGGCAGAAGACACCGTTTACATAACTTAATCTGGAATAGAAGAAATATAATTGTATTAACTATAGAAAAAAATGTATACGAGAATTATATATACGTCGGGGTGCCACAGTACTCAATTATACCGATTTCACACGATAAAGACTTATGATAAGCAATTTTTCGTTCATTGTGTTTTTATAAAAAGTCAATCAAAATATAAAATAATTCTATTAGACTATGACTATTTCCAATGAGATAAATCCATGGATTTTTTAGCTCTTTATATAAATTTGGATGGCTATTTTTTTTCTCAAAAAAAGACGTCCCAATATGAATTCATCCACACTAAAGAACGCCCCTATAAATGTGAATTGTGCTATAAAACATTCACATTTATAGGGACGCTCTCAAGTATGAATGAGCAGATGGTCCTTTAATAAATAATTTTGCAGCCTCTTTTACAAATTTTACATTACAAAAAATAAATAACATATATCTCTCATATGCAGAGGAATGCAATACCGGTATACCGTTTAACTTTTCGGTTCAATACTGGTATTCCCCTTAAAAATTTCGGTATATTCGATATTGAAACATAAGCTCTAATAGATACATGTCACACCTTTTTGTTTGAGTTTCTCGGAACCATTTAAACTATAAATCTAATAACCTTTAGTTCGTTCTATGTAAAAACAAGTGTCAAAATATTATATATAATATTTTAATACTCGACTCGCATTAAACTGAATATTTATTTCTTTCTAAAGGTCTTCATATCGAGTCTCAATAAAAAGAATTATTATCTATATTAATATCTGAATTTCAATTTCGATTGATTAAATTGAATAAATTTTTACACATTTCAGGAAGTTCATGCAACTTGCCTTAAGGCTTGCCTTAATAACCTTTAGTTCATTCTATGTAAAAACAAGTGTCAAAATATTATATATAATATTTTAATACTCGACTCGCATTAAACTGAATATTTCTTTCTTTCTAGAGGTCTTCATATTGAGTCTCAATAAATAGAATTATTATCTATCCTAACATCTAAATTTCAATTTTGATTGATTAAATCAATTTTTACACATTTCAGGAAGTTCATGCAACTTGCCTCAACGCTCAATGCCACTTTCAACTAGTTTATTATTAAAAACGCAAGCTTTGTTGAAATACTGGGAACGTATATTTGTATTGATATTGCATCCCCTAACCGATATCCATGAATATCAGTTTTATATCCAAAATTTTATTACTAGACTAGCAAACCCGACGAACTCCGTTTCGCCACCAGATGGTTTCGTGAGAAAGATGAATAAATTTTTTGTTTGTTTTATATTTGAAAAGGAAAAAATTTGATTTTATTATACAACAGTAATGAATTTATTTCGATTACAAAAATGAAGTGTTTTTTAGTTGAACTTCTCTAAGTAAATGAAAGTGAATCCGCAAATTATCCGTTTCATTGAAGTGCTCTTTGGTAAACCACATTTTTTGTTATTTGGTCTGACGTTAACACAAACAAAGCGGATGGTTTTCCAACTCGTGAACAGGCAACGTATAACTGCCCATTTGAAAAACAATGATTTTCTAAATAATCTATTTGAAATTTATCCCGCAAATACTAAGCGATTGGCCTTGCGACTTGTTATTGCGAACGCAAGGCAAACTGGAAATTGCAATCGTTTGAAGTCAAACGGAAGACAAGTCAGAATCATTGGTATGTCACCAAATCGCCAGCAATTTTTTATTGTATTGTGAAATTCAGTGCGTGTACATCATTATTCTTTGCGGCAAGAATTGCTCGTTGACTTAACTAAGCATAATTCTGATAATTCTCACTAGTGTCATTACTCGAATTTTTAATTACGGTGCGTGAAGTTCCAGCAGCTTGCATTAAGGCGCGATGCGATGCACCTTCGCAACGAATGCAAAATTGTCGAAATCGGTTTGTGCGTTCAGGAGTTATTTCGTCAGGAAGGAAAACCCGACTTATTTTTATATATATAGAAGATATAAAATTTTCGGTAATATTGTTCAATTTTAGCTTAACATAAAATTCATTTATTTATCTATTTATTCACCTTATTGAAGTTGGCCCACTCTTCGTCTGCACACTCAACGAGTACAAATAATTAGGATCACTAGAATTCCGAACCAGAAAAGTCCCCAAAGCACAATCCTTCAACAACTCCTCGCTCTGCTGCCAAGTCATACTATCATAATACCAACAACTATTTGACAACCTTTTCGCTAACAGTTCCAGCCTGTTCAGCTCACTTTGAGAATCCAATGTATCCTGATTGTGCTGCAACCAGGGTAATAGAAACACATTTGTCGTGTTCAAATTTTGATTCAGGACAATACACGAAGGTACATTCTGCTTTGTGGTGTCACAATTTATTTGTAAAGACAATGGCCTGTTTTGTCTTTGAGGGTAAGATAGTATTTGGAAATCTGGTGGTATTGTCGGCTGCAGGATTTCTGATTTTTGGGTCATCAGGATGTGCGATGTGGGTCTTGTGCTGGTTGTTGCAGGTAGGACGAAGGTTAGTGGCATACTTGGCGAGATTTGAGAACTAGAAAATAAAATACACATTAATATTAACAAAAAAAAAATATATTCTAGTCTTTTATTTTTCTATTTACCTATCAGCTGTGACTTGTACTTTAGATTCCCTCCTGGAATCTCGTCTGCCATCCTCCGATCTATTCAGCAATGTTTCAGGTTTATGATGATTTCTTTTAAGGTTTTTACTACTTGAGTTTAATTTACTATTCCTTTCGTCTATATTTCTGAAGGCTGGGTTTCCAAAAAATCTTAATGGGTTATAACTACTGTCTTCTAGTGGGGTAATGGGTTCGACTGGTTCTACTTCTTGGTTTATGGTGATGAGGCCTCCACCAGATAAACTAAATCTGAAAATAAATAAAATTTATCAATATTAACGACAAATACTCTAGAAAAATGTTTTAGTCATTCAAATAATTTCATTGTCTCTTTGTTACTATTATATTTGTAATAATTTTCATATTTTCAATTAATTAAATATCATTTTTATTAAGTTTTATCAAGATCAATTAATTTTGAGTTTTGTAAGATTTTGTATATAATAATGCTATTTTTGTGTTATAAAATGTATTTAATTATAAGCTTGTCTTTGAATAAAATTAATAAATGTAATAAATATATGTAGTAAATAATTAGTTACATATAAATTAATAAACACAGTTTGAGAAATAAATATTCTTCTTGTAATATTCTTGAAATGTTTGTTTGAAGCCAAATAGTCGAAACAAAAAACAATAAATAACTTAATTGGTTAATATGTACGTTTTGACACTCTATGTGTGCCATCATTCAGCAAATTAAAAAATTCGAACCAGGAAAAAGTAAAACTTTGATTAAAATAAAATATTAATATAAATATTGAATAATAAAGTCACATAGTTACTAAATTACAAAAAGAAAACTTTTTAGAAAAGAAAATTTAAAAAATGCGTTTTTTGTTATTTTTTGAAAATGCTCATCCCTAAATTCTGATTGTTATTGTTTTTAAAAAAATCGAGAATATCAAAAAAACTAAATTTAACTAAACTAACTACTAATTTTTTTTCTGCGGGCCATTATTTAGTGAAAAAAAATCTTATTTTTGCTAGAGTTAAAAATGTTTGACTTTTTTTTAATTTAATTATTCATCTTTCTTCTGAAAACATTAATTGACTAATGTACAATAATAATGTAATGTTGTATACAAAGTCAAAAAATAAACAATAACCAGTATTGCATTTTTGGAAATTTTGGAAGCATTTGAAAAAATTGAATACAGAAAAAATATACTTTTATGATTTTTGCAAATGGCATCTTCATCTAAACTTTCTTTACATTTGCAAAAATTGAGTGAAGTGTTTTTTGAATCATCGGACCAAATCGGACGCTCCAATTTTTCAAAAATTTAATTGCCATTTCTTGCACTTTTTGCCCAGTATCTTCGAAACAGCTGGACCTGCCTTTTCCAAAAACTGCTCAACACGTCTTCCCATCAATAGGAATCCAATGTTTTTTGAATTATTCAAATGGGTTGATCCGTTCTCCCGAAAACGTGAACAAAAATTGTATCCACACATACATACACACACGCACACATACACACACACTCATAGATACATCCATTTTTTCTAAGGATACCAAAATGATCAGATGAGATATGCAAAAATTATCATTTTGGGTTATTAGGCGATTACTATAACTTATCATACAGAATGTTAAAAATAATTGCATAAAGTGCTATCTAGAAGTTTTTAGGATTCAATTTTTTTATATTTTCAAAGTAAAGCTATACAAAAATATGTGTACTAAATAAAAATATTTTCGGAGGAAATTTCTGTTTTGACCATCACGATCTTTCCATGTTTCCTTCCCCAGAACCACAAAAAAGAGTTTTTCTCGAAGTTGTCCTTTTCCATACGATGATAACCACGATTTCTCAACTTATACTGAAACTAAAATTTACATCAGTGTGAACTACAGCTCATCCCAAAAATCCCATTTGCACTATTTTAAATAAAAAATAGAGAATATCAAAAAAAAGTTTTAGTTTTTACTTCTCGTAGGGTAAGTTATAGTAATCGCAAACAAATCGAAAATGAAAATTTTTGCATATCTTCACGGTTTGAAGGTTTCTGAACATTTTGGCATACCTTAGGAAAAATGGATGTATGTGTGTGAGTGCGAATACAAATATTCGTCGACGATTTCGGAAACACCGATCAATCGATTTGAATAAATCAAAAAACATTCGATTCGTATTGATAATGAGACATGCTGACTAGTTTTTGGCGATGGCAAAACAGTAATTAAGTTTTTAAGAGAATGGAGAGTCCGATTTCAGTAATTCAAAAAACATTTTACTTGTATTGACAAGATGAAGAACTGATTAAATTTTTGGGAAGGCAAATCCAGCGGTTATAGACTCTCAATAAAAATAAGTTATTTGGCGGTCAAAAATGTTTATTGGACATATACACATCAAATTATCTGAAATTTTATAGAGATTTTAATAATGTACACATGTTGTGTAATTTTTTTTGGATTCCATACCCAGATTTTTAATTACCGTACAAAAAGTTCCAGCATTTTGTCTTAAGGCACGATGCCAAGCACCACTAGTTTTTCTATCTCTTACCTATTACTGATAGGCCTCTTGGTCGAAACATGTTCCCTATAAGTAACCATCTCGGCATCGTTTTCTGCCTCCATCGAATCGTAATCCTCATCGTTCCAATCGTAATAACAACAGTCCTCGTTGATTTCCGAATTGCTATCGTACGAATTACTATCGTAGCTGTTCTGCCCGTCGAAATTGTTCGTCGTCGCCGATGCAACGATGTCGTTGCAATGGTGGTCGAACGCCATCCGCCTTTCCGTATCCGTTCGGGCGAAAGGAAGTGCGGTCGGAGTCCCGACCGATGCGGCCGACGTCACCGGAAACACGTGGCGACATTGGGGACAACTGGATAGTGTCAGCATGGTGATGGTGATGGCGGGGACGAGTTGGTTATTTTTGGTGAGATGAGATTCTGGAAGGAAAGAAAAATGTGGTTAGGAAACGAGAATTAAATCACTTTTAATTTAATTTAAATTATGTACTTTGAAATTTATTGAAAAACTGTAACAGTAGCACGTTAGTATAATTTTTATTTTGTAAATTTTATTTAAGTAGTGTAGGGCGGGGTACAAAGGTCCAATTTGACTTCGAGCTAATATATTGTGAAAACCAAACTAATTATATCACAACAAATAACACATATCAAACAAACAACTATGTGACTACATTTAGTAAAACTCCCAGCTTATTTATCATCGTAGAAATGTAATTTTTGCTGTTTTTTGAAAAATTTGTCACCTGGTTCTTTTTACCCCATTGCCCCACGTTTTTCCAACATGCTCCTCAAATTTATTAAATGTCCTTAAGGGGGTCTTCCTATGTGATGGCTTGAAAAAATCGATTTTTTTTTTCATAAATTGCTCCATTAACATGTCTAGAATAAGGTAGTAAAGCGATTTTAGAAAATCCGAAGTCGTTTTAAAGATACAGCAGGTAAAAGAAAGAGCGGTTCGGAGCGCTGAGTTGGCAGTTAGAAACTTTAAAGGCGTTTTTCTCAAAACTGTGTTGTTCAAACTTTTCTCCATTGTATCTCAGAAATGGCTGGACCGAATTACTTGAAATTTACAGGGCACACTCAATATATTTAAACGCATGGAATGAACTATTATCAATCTTCGATTTTTTTATAGCAAAAAACAAAAAAAACGCCTAATTTGCAACTTTTATTTTAAATGTCTATCAAAAATCCAATTTTTTTTATATTCATTTGATTATAGGTCATTCCGTGCTTTTTTTCATATAAGCCGATCAGCCGGAATCGTGGAGGAAGTGGGAGCTCTTTTTTTCGAGACGGGGGTGTTCAGAGCGCTGTAACTCTAGTTTGACTGAATATTTTTAGCTGAAATTCTATATTTATACTGTCCAAATATGTGTTAATAAATGATAAAAAACTTGAGGCTCTAAATATTTACTGGTCGTAAAAAAAAATCCTAAAATATACCTAAAAAACAGGCCGTCACATAGGAAGACCCCCTTAACTGGACCGTTGTAAATAAAAGAGATGATAATAAAAAAAATATTCGTGGTCTTTAGACAAGTTCAAATAGTTCTTATAGTTGTTAATAATAATTTCAATTCAACTTTGTATGGACTTATATGAAAATGGTGAATAAAGTAAATGTTGAACATAAAAGCTTGTGGTAAACTTTTAATGCAACGAGTTTTTGGAATTTAGAAAAAAAAAACGTTACCTTTCACAAGTACAAATCAAGTTGCAAAATAGGATATAAATATTGTTACTGAGTTATAAACAAGTTTTCCAATTTTTTCACACAATTGCATATTATATAAATGACTTAAACTTTGCGAGTTAAATAGGGACGGCCAGGGGCAAACAGGTCCAATATCTTATTTTCATTTTAAAGAATTTGAAAAATAATAGCTACATTTTTCGATTAATGCATAATATAAATTTCATTACTGCATTTCAATCAGCAGGGTTAGAATAAATATTCATTAACTGCATTTCAATCAGCAGGGTTAGAATAAATATTCATTAACTTCCCAAAGTAGAAGTTTATGTTATCATAAAAAAAATCGATTTGCTAATTTTATGTTTTTTCGACGTTTCAAATCATTCTGAATAGAATGAGACCAAATTTTGGAAAAAGATGGGCGTGTGTGTGTGAACAGATTTTAGACATTTCTTCCACGTTTTCTCAAAAACCATTAAACCGATTTCAAAAATTTAAAAGCCATTCAATGTAACTCAATAAGAACTAGCTTTTGCCAGTTTTGCAAGACTATCAGCCAAGCTGTTTCTTTGTAAATAGCAGAAAAGTGAAAAAATCGGTCACGTTTTAGTCCGCAATGCTGAATCGATTTTAAAATTTCAAAAACGTATAAAAATTGGAAAGATATTGGTTGTGAAAGATACTGATTAGTTTTTAGTGAAGATCGAAAGAAACATTTTTTTGTAATTAACGTGTAAAAAAAAATTAGACAATTTTTATGGAACTTTTCTGACTATATTTACCATGGTCTTATAGAACTTACTAAAATATTACAGCCTTGCGACCAGACATTTAGTTTTAAAAATTCATCAAAATTTTTCATAAAATAAGCATATTTGTTTTTGACTTTAATTAAAATTAAACCTATCATGCAACTTGCCTTAAGCCACTTGCAACTACTTTCTTTGATTATTGACCTTATGATTGATAATTGCTTTAATGATATCAACACAAATTTTGTATGTATTTATATATTTATTAATGAAGCACTTGACTCCATGAAATTAAAACAATCAACATTTATTTTCAAATTAATTAAATATTCAGTATATGTACTTCAGATATACATTGAAACAATGTTAAAATAAAATTTCTCATGAAAATCATAACAAATTATTTAATAAAATAATAAAAAATAATTTAAAAAAAATTAAATAAATGATAAAAATATGAAATTAATAATGAGAATATTTAACTTATTGCCGAAATTAGTAAAAAAAAATTATTTATAAGCAAACCATGGATGAATAGAAGTACTTATTCCATAAATACTTATATTGCATGAATATTTTGCAATTTAAGTATAAATATAAGATATTTTTAATGATTTAGCATATAAATGCACAGATTTTAATCAAATTTATATATCAGATATCAAATATATTTATATTAGTGATCCTTGGACACAATTCTCATAGTTGTTGAATAACGATTATAATAATAATGTTAAATCTAATTTTGTGCGAATTAATATTAAAATACTAAATAGATCAAACGTGAAAATTAAAAGCTTAGTGTAACGAGTTTTTCATATTTAAATAAAAAAAATATTGCTTTTTTACAAGAATATATCAAGTTGCATAATAAAATATATACTGTTACAAAGTTATAAACAAGATTTACCAATTTTTTTACTCAATTGCATATTTTATATACATATTATATAAATGATTTTAAGACAACGTAAGCAAATTACAAAGTGAGAAACTTATCAACAATTTGTTGCAAAAAATATGATCATATCTGTATTTCTGGAAATACCTAGAAAAGATTGAAAAAAATTGTGTACGTCAATTACAAATTAATTCACATGAAACCAAAGTTTATGTTAAAATGCGTATTGGTATTTGTTTTGATTAAAATATTAATTAATTGTGAATAAGAGGAATTAATAGAAAAAATTGTACCGCAAATTTATTTATTTATTTATTTATTTATTGGAGTACGATTTATAGGAACATATGGTACTGATTTGTAGAAAATATGAAAAGGATCGAGACAAATTTTTGTTATAAATTGTAATATGAGACTCACTTGTATTTAAACTTGATTATAAATTATATGAAAATTTTTCAAAAGTTTCAAATATGAAAAAAATGAAACCAACATTTAGTTTTAATAATAGACCATGTATCTCACTTATGAAAGTGAAAAAAATAAAAGTAAGTAAGTAAAGTAAGAACAAAATATGTAACTTGCTCATTTAATTTGCTAATTTTAAATTAATCACAGTATATTATATATTATCTATTATATAGTTACTATCAAAAAACAATTTTTCAATTCAAAACATATCAGTATTCTTCAATTTTTTTCAATTTTTAACTCCAATAGCAAACAACAACAATATCAAAACAATTCCATATACGTTAAAAAAAAGTTATTCTGGAAAATCCACATAGTAAAAGAAATCTAAAATACCTCGTAATCATTACAAAATTATCTGTATTACATTTTACTTCTATTTTCAGGTATCTATAAACAAATTATAATTATGCATTCCATTTATCAAGTTATGCAAAAACATAACAAAATGTTAAGAATTATTGTTATGGAAATTACTTAGCTAAATGAATTGTAATGGCTATATTGCATTTGATAAAATTTTTAATTATTATAATTGATATAAAGGAATTTGTTTAGAATTGATGAAATAGTATACAGAAGATATTGGCAGTGCACTTTGATAGATTAATAATTACTTTATTTATAATTTAATTTAATTAGAAGTGATTAAAATCAAATTGTGAGGTAATTAATCAAATAGTTTTATAAAGTGTTAATTAATTGAATATTGAACTACATTTCAAAACTCGGTTATTCAATTTTATTTCTTCTGCATTAATATTGTAAATACATATAATAAATATTTGAAAATTCGTAGAAGTTACCAGAAATAAATATAATAATTATATGGATAATTTATCTTTAAATAAAATTGCCTGATTTCAAGCACAAACTCTTACATTTATAAAAAAAAACTTTATATAAACGACAAAACTTGTTTTTAAGTTTTTAAATTAGATTATGATCTAATTCTTGGAATTTTCTATGAATAGGAATGATAAATTGTAATTAGAAAAGATAATTTGAAGCATTTGTCAGTTATCAAAACTGAAATTTGTGTAATAATAATAATACTTGATAGTTTGAGTAAACTTTTGTTACTAAATAATATGATAGAAATTTTTTTTTAAAGAAAAATAATGTAACTAGATCATTATTAGTAGCAATTAATATTCCAAAAAATATATTATCATATTGTATAAGAAAATCGAAATAAAATCAAGTAAAAAAAGATTCATAAACATTTAAGTGATATACTTAAAAACTTTTCAAGTAATAATTTTGTGAAAAAATATTAAGCAATATAAATCAAATATATGATATAATTATTAATAAATCCTAATCGCAACTTATTAATTTATGTATAAAATCTGAGCTATTAAGCAAAATTAAATAAAATAAGATTGCTTATAAAAAAGATTAAATAAAGCATTAATATTTATAATTTTATTCGTTCTAATAGAAATATGTATTTATTTATTTCATTATAAATTAATTGTATTAAAAATATTATACCTTATCATTTTATTTTATTAAGGGATGTAAATGACTAATTTATTTCTGATACTTCATATTACTCAATAATTCAATTTTAATTCATTTCCTACCATTA